TACTTATGGTTTTAAGGTTTAGGGTTTAAGGTTTAAGGTTTAGGGTTTAGGGTTTACAGTTTAGGGTTTAGAGCTTAGGGTTTAGGGCTTAGGGTTTAGGGGTTGAGAGTTTAGGGTTTAGGGTTTAGGGTTTAGAGTTTAAGGCTCAGGGTTTTAATGCCTGGCTTGAGTGTAGCTTCAAACGAATACATAACCCAAGTGGGTAAGTAAGAAAGAAAGTATGTATGTATCTATGTAACGCTGTATCTGTGTATGTATGCCTGCATGCAGGTATGCATGTATGCATGGATGTACGTACGTAGGTATGCATGCATGTATGTATGTATGCGCATATCGTTTGTTGTTGTCTGTAAGCTTGTTGTTCTACTTGTGAGTCTTCAAGCACGAGAAGTCTGGATTTCGGAGGTCCTGAGACCTTGACCCCCAAACCCGAAGGATTCAGAAGCTTGGTTGGCGCTGATTTGTACTGGGAGGACACCAAAACCGATTCATGTAGCCTTGTGAAGGACTCACTTCACCACCACGACCGATAACCCGCCCCAATCCCTGAACACACGGTTGCGATCCCAACGATGGACAAAGTCCTGCATTATCGGCTATGCACGATAGCCTCCTCAGTATGTATAGTAACGACAGTACACGGCACTTCAGGTATTGCCAGGGTTTGTGTTCACCAACAAATGACCGATTGAAGGAGTATGAGGCGATGATGGGATATTTAAAGATATGATAGCGATGACGATGGTGAGGAGGAAGGGGGAAGGAGGAGGGAGGAGGGAGGGGAGGAAGCTGCAGCACACCACACTTCAGAAAGGGGCCACAGGCTGGAAGAAGTGTCTCTACAACACGGAAACCATTCGGGGCTCTGATGCAGACTCTGTGCAACAGGATGCTGAATCAAAAAACACGTGATGCCAACAGCCAACAGCCCCACGAGGATTCCAAATGGTTTAGAGTCCAGGGCTTTAGTGCTCTAGATTTATGGCGCCATCTGTCAGGAGATAGAGGCGTCATTGTTGAATTGTGCCTTCCACCTCCATGTGCATGTAACAATGTAACGCCTGTTGTTGGCGCCTAGGCTCCCTCTAGCCCCATTTCTGAAACACCCGCCCGCCGCAGCAAAAACAACAACGAAATGCACAAGACCAGGTAAACCCTAAACCCTTAAACCCTAAACCCTAAACCCTAAACCCTTAAACCCTTAAACCCTAAACCCTAAACCCCAAACCCTAACCGCTGGAGAATTCTGCAGAATCAGCCTGAGCACTTCAGCTCTGAACTCCAGCACATGGGCAGTTCTCTAAATTAGGGTTTAGGGTTTAGGGTTTAGGGTTTAGGGACCCTAAACCCTAAACCCTTTTAAGGTCCTTTATGATAAGGGCGTCGTGCATATTTTGGACGTAACAAGGGACCCGAATTTAGAGAACTACCCACACAGTTCCCTATATTCCCTGACCCTGCACCTCCAACTCCTAGCAGAACCTCCAGCCTTCGACGCAGACTCTTCACTTCCTAAGCCTGAAAACCCTAAACCCTAAACCCTGAAACTTTACAAGCCCTAAACCCATAGTAATCCACAAAGCCTCAACCCCTAAACCCCTGTGAAACTATCTTCAACCCTCAACCCTAAAGGCCATAAACCCCTAAAGCCCAAACCCCAAAAACCCTCTGAAACTATCTTAAACCCTAAACCCTACGGTTAACCCCCAAAGCCTAGAACCCTAAACCCTAAACCCTAAACCCCCAGAGCCTCGGCCCCTTTCAAAACCCGTCTTTCTTGGGCCTCGTTCTTGCGCGGAAGGTCCAGCACGATGCCCGGGAAGGTTCCAAGGCCCT